ATGTCAGAACAATCAGACACTACCTCTTCATCCGCGTCGACAACGCATTCTTTCCCTTACGAACGAGATAAAATAGTTGAAGCCATCACCAACTTTTACAGCTTGCTCACCGAGCTTTTCCTCCCCACGTCGGTCCTCAAACTTCCGCCGGCTGGGGGCTGGCCAAACATATGGTCCGGCCCTGCCACCTTTCACAAGACAGACTTGGTCATGGATCTCCTGCGCCATTTGCCGTACATTGCCAATGACGGGCCGACTGCAAATAGTATTCACTACAAATGTAACGTGGTCGATTACTCCACCTTTGGCCCATCAGAATTTGCCAGAGCCGATTCGGAATTTGAGTCGTTTGCCGAGGCGGTAGACCTGCCGCCTGAGGATGCGCCGCACTGTTTTCTTCTCGCGAGGGGCTATGAGAGTGGTGGCCGAAATATGATCCTCAACACGGCGACGGGCGAGTTACTCGTCGATATGATACGGTGCAACGTCGAATACGTGGGGGGTCTAGTGCAATACCTCGACGGGCTAAAAGAAGAATACAGGTCGCTTACAATTGTTCCGGTTCTCGGGGAGGAGGCTCGGGCTGAAAACTTGAGCCCGGAGGAAGAGGCGGACGAAAGTAAGGTGGAAGACATTCTGAAAACTGAAATCCGTGCCAGCGAAGAGTCCCTGTGGACAGACCTAGACTTCAGATGGGTACGACACTTGTATCGCAAACATGGATGGCCAGAGCCCGACTATGAAAAGAATGATGCCTTGAAAGCCATTGAAGTTTACAAGGCAGGCCGAGAGTGAGCAGGAGGTGTCATTCATAATCATCCGCAGGCAATTAATAAAGGAATGTTCGAAGACTATGTGTCACTTTGGCCGGGAGGCTGCCCATTAATCCCTAGAGCTGGAATGTGACATACAGCAACATGATGTCCGTACAATGTAGGTGGACAAAGGAATGATACACGAGTTCTCGAATTAGCCACATTCATTGCTTTCGAATGGGGCACCGAAAACCCATTGTTTCCTGGTTTATATCGCGAGAGATTTTCTGTCGCGAAGTCGTGAACTTTAAGCAATTCGATCGGCTCCGGTCGAGTCGCATGTTTTTCGCAATGACGAAGATGCTGGTGACGCTTTTCTTATATAGCGCCTAAGGGTCGAGACGTTTTACCGTCAACATAAAGCGCCTTCGTTATTTTTCAAATATCGGAGCAATGAGCGTCAAGGGAGGAGCGTTGGCCAGTCCGTGGGCGCGGTAGGCGGCTCGCATCGCGGCGTTAACGACGGCTTCCTGTCCGAGCCGCCCCCCGCCGAGCACGGCATCTGGGCTCCCCGGGTCTGCCGGGTTTTGAATAATATGCTCGCAGATTCGGGCGACGATACCGGCTACAGTATTGTTCACGCCGCTGGGGGTCGATTTTGGCAGCGGAAGATGGAGAGTCTGTCAAGTCAGCACCAGCCGGCTTCTGTCGATTGCAACCTACCTACTATGGGTTTTCCCTGATTCTGCGCATCGCGCCTGTGACGTAGTTTGACCATCAACATCTCTCCCAGCCTCATGGAGAACGGGTTTGCTAGCAGGCGGTCCTCGTCCTCCTTGGCTGGCAAGTCCTCTAGCCGGCTGAGTTGCCTTAGTTCATCTTCTGGCATTTGTTGCTTGTCTTCGAGCATAAGCTTCTCCCGCTCTTGTATCCTCTGTGCATTGCTTTTGTATGACATGCTATAGAACCAGTCACGCTGGCCTGGGTAGATGCGCTGAGCGTCCATGGTGCCGTGCGGTCGGGGGCCGAGATCTTTTGATCCTCTCGGGTGACTTCGTGATGAACAGCAACGAAGTAAAAACGACGAGCGTCGCGGGGAAAGTAGGTAATGATTAGTAAATGATTGTTCTCTTGGTAGAGCATTTGCAGGTGGCTGGAAAGGTCCCGTCGTTGTCAACAGAGATAATTTACATGATTCTCCTCAGGCAGAAAAGACTGACATGCGCGCAACCGGGAGTAGAAGCCCCTTTCCATACCCTGACGGCCTCACAGAGGCTGTACGTTAATTCCCATATGCATGAGCCACCTCTATGAAAGACGCTGTGTTTATGCATATTGTAGAATCGGGTTTGAGCATAAGGCCCGAAATACACAAGTCTAAGCTGCCATTCAAAGAACAATGTGGACAACCAGACAAAGGGGGCGAGCCTTTTTTTTTTGTTTTTGTTGTTTTTTTGTCAACCTCATCAAAACGTTATTTGTCAAAGAAGACCGATTCGTGCCGGATGCTGGGTCCGACGCCATGACACATAGTATAACGGCGGCAAACATAGATCCTCGTGCATGGGGAGCGCGGAACCTCTACCACAGGTGGTTTCATCTCGCTTTGATTATGCCTACATGTCCAGGCCACCATGTGCAAAGGGGCTGCCACCTTGGGCCAGACGCGTGGCAGCTCTTCCGTCACTGATGAGTCTTTGTCAACACACGCCTCTCCACGGCGTCCTGTCTCTGCTTCGTGGCTTCGCATTAGTACAAGTCTGATGGTTCCAAGTCGCAATCAACCTCAGCATACTCTACAACATGGCAAGCAGTCGCAGCGCCGCAGGCGGGCCTCCGCCCGAGGTCATACCAAAGCGGTCGACAAAAGCAAAAATCGTGGAGATCGCCAAAGGCCTCGGCCTCGAAGTGAAGAATGCCACCGTGGTGGAGCTCAAGGCCGACATCTACTTCAAGCATATGGGAATACCGAGGACGGAACACGCGATCTACGAGAGACTAGTCGACGTTCTTCGTACCAAGACTGAGCTGCTGAAGTAGCGTCTAGGTTGGTCCTTGGGCGGGCACCCGTCCAAGGAAGTGATCGTGCTCGCCTGGCTCAAGGTGGGTGCCCCCGACCGCGATCAGCTCCGTAGCGGCGACTAACTGTGTTCAGCATGAATTCGCCGACGCCCCGTGGCCTGCGCAATCGCTCGAGGAGGGCACCCGGCGTCTACAAGCCCAAAAAGAGGTGCAAGGAGCTGGCGGGTCGTCCGAGCTGCCCTCTCTCGACCTAACGACTTGCCCTATATGCAAAGGCGCTTTTTGGAAATCCGCCGCCCAGCTACACATCGACATCTACCACACCCCAGCCCAATGTCACCATTGTCAACGAGAGTTCCCGTCCAGGGCAGATCTTAATCGCCACCTCTACCAAGATCACCACACCGAGTGGGAGGAGCAGAACAGCCGTGTCAGATAAGAGACCCTGGCACGTGCGGCGGAGCATCAAGCATGGCCCAATCTGCAATCGGAGACTTGGTTGAGTCTGACAGTCGGTGACTTGCATGGTGTATGTACCGAGCTTGTCTTGCTGTGTCACACTCTTTGAGGCACGCGTTTGTGCTCGAACTCCCCATGCAGGAGTGCACTTTGCTTTTGGGACAGACACTCTGCAGATGTTCGTCTAGTTGCGTATCTCATAAATGCAGGCCGTAGGTCAAGACACAAAGATATCGCTACTTCGCGGGTCTGCTAGCCAGTCATGTAGACACGTGCCAGGGGGCGCGAACAAACCGAGACTGTAACCTCTACCTCGGATAATCTCATCGACGGCCCAGCGCCGCCATAACAGGACTTTTCGTAGAGCGACAACTGCATCGGAGCTCGCGCCGCTCGCGATTCGTGAACCACCCATGATCCAGGAAGCGGCGATGTTGCAAACAGTCTGCCGGGGCACTCACACAGAGGCAGCGCTTCCTGGAAGCTTGCCGGAGAAGAAGCGACATTCGTCGGTGATCTCCTGGGTGGAGCAACTTCTTCCGTAAGTGGAAATCGGTCTCTCGACTGCATCTAGACACCTGCGTCTTACCGTCTGGCCGCGCCGACAAACGCCTGATCTCCTGCCAATGCTCGCGCCCAATGAGGGAAAGATGCAGATCCGCCGTTGGGGACGTCAAGCACCCACGAGCTGCGGCGATGCCAGAATGACCTTGGGCCTGGCCGGTGAGGCTTTCTGCGGTCCGGCAGGTCAGAAGGGTCGCTAGCGGGGTGCGTCGCGCGTCATCCACCTTTGAATCATTATCTGCAGCCTCCCGCGATGCTTAGCCCAGGGCTTTCAGAGTGTCTGGGTGCAGCTCAGCACTCGCGTTATGCTGAGGATGTCGGTGAGAGCGTGTGACTCTGGCGTGAGGGTACAAGTCTGTGGTCATCTTCGCATTTCGTCCCCCATTTCCCAACTAACCTGCCAACATCGTCAAGGCATATCAAGCCTCTACACACAACATACCATTCTTCTACTACCCCAAGTCATCACCATCGAACATGTCCCAAGCTCCGCCCGCCGAGGCCGAGCGTGCCGTCCGTACCGTGGGTGAGATCAAGCTGCTTTGTACGTGCTGTCAATGACACTTGTTCCGAGGTGCCAGGCGACTGATTCTTTCACAAGTCATGACCGGCCACGTCCGTCTGGCCGTGCCTTTTGTCCTCGGCAAGGTCTACGATCTCGTTGAGACCGTTCCCGAGACGCCCGGCATCCCAACCGGGCTTGCGCTGCGGGACAACTCAACCGCTGCCCATTACGGCTGGGTCAAGACTTCCTCACGTGACCGTTCGAACAGCCTCGGTCGCGTTCGCGATGCTTTGCGGGCAGCTGGCCGTGGCAGCCACGTCGCTCGCATCAAGGTTACCCGCGTTGGCAACCTCTTCGAGTCTGTCGATCGTTCTGGGGTTAGTCAAGTAGGCGTCCACGGAGATGCATTCTGTTGGATCGACTTGGCTGGATCCCCTAACACGATTGGTTCCGACACTGTCGACTCCGACGCAGACAGCGAGGGTCGTTGAATCTAATTGGGGCAGGAAGGATGGTGCGAAAGTCCGATTAAATAATTAACTTCTATAATGGATTGGTGACCAGGGGGTACCTATTGTACCTGGGTGCAGACGCCGGAGTAGTTGCATCAGCGCTTTACCTATTCTGGGCATTTGTGACTCACCTTCATGAGCTAAAATAAACCGCATCGAAACATAATCACAGCGATTAATATATCTCTTATAGTGTAGCGGTTAGCACGTGGGATTTTGAGTAGCCTTGTAGGCGATGCATTAAAATTCCCGAGTCCCCGGTTCGAACCCGGGTAAGAGATGAGAGATTTTCACTTTTTGCTCTTGTCGGCCGGCCATTATATATATATATTTTTTTTTCGATCCAGACCAAATTACTAAATGTGCCTGCCGATGCATACATATAATTAATTAATTAGCTGGGAGGAAGTATTCTAGCTGGCTTCATATTTGTTTTAATATGTTATTAATTGTCTGAGCTTGCGTATTTATGAAATGTATTATTATGCTTTACTCTTGAGAATTGATATATACGTCTTTGTTTTTAGTATTTATCTCTGTGAAAGCATCTAGTTTTATTTGATTCTGTCTGGTATTGTTTCCTTTGTGAGATCGCTTTCCACGCAAGTTTAGTGCGAACTCGAACTCTTCATTTTATTTTCAGGCGTATCTCAATAAACATCTATGTGCTCGAAGTATGCATGCCTAAAGAGGCCAATCTTTAAGAATCGAGTATTTATTATGTCTCAGAGCTTGAAGAACTTGACTGTATTTATCGTAACGGATACTGTGTGATTGCATCTAGGTATTCCAATACTTTCCCTCTTTGTTCTATTGCTTTGGGGAGCTGCCAGTCAGATTTGTACCCGCCAGCCGCGGGGTATTCTAACACCGGCGGGGTTTCGATCTAATATGGAGACAACCTTGGAAGACGATAGCAAGCACATCATCGCCAACCCAGACTTGTTGCGGGCTTATTGGTCAATAAGTGAGAGATCAACATCGGAAATAGTCCGAGAATTTACCTCACTGTGCATCTAATCCGGCCGTCGGCTTTCGTTGCGGATACCCTCTTCTGCTTTCTAGTGAGTCAAGTCATATACAGCTTGTGTGACGCAAGACATTAAAGTCCTTGGATTTTTATTGTCTATACAATTGCTTCACATCTTTCATATGTTCTCGCGAACAGCCCGCTGTACCCTCCGTACACTTGCCCACCGGCCGGCTTCACTTTCGTCTTTGCTTTTCCTTCAACCCGGTCGCACCGCCAAAGGTCCTTTGTCCGCATTCGTCCGCTCCCCTCCGGATTTCATCTTCCAGCAGCACCAGCAGCAACAACGCGCCAACATGGCCACCGCCGTCGCCAAGCGCCTCTCGGGCAAGACCATCCTCATCACGGGCGCCAGCTCGGGCATCGGGCGCTCGACGGCCCTCGAGTTTGCGCGCACGTCGCCGCAGGACCTGCGGCTGATCCTGACGGCGCGCCGCGCCGACGCGCTCCAGGAGCTCGCCGCCGAGATCACCAAGGAGGTCGGCGAGGGCGTCAAGGTCCTGCCTGTGCAGTTTGACGTCTCCAAGCCCGCCGAGGTCCGGGCCTTTGTCGGCAACCTGCCCGAGGAGTGGCGGAACATTGACGTGCTGGTCAACAATGCGTAAGTCATCTACTCTCTCGCACGTGATTGAGCTGCCTTTTTGGAATTGGTGATTTTGAGAGTATACTCGATACTAGAATATTGGGGAAACACTACGTTCTGCTACTTGATTCGGATGGATTGAAGTGTTAAAAAAAAAAAAAAAAAAAAAAAAAACGTCGCTAATCAAACCACACATTCGTACAGCGGCCTAGTCAAGGGAGTCGCCCAGGCGCCCAAGATCGCCGAGGAGGACATTGACGTCATGTTCTCGACCAACGTGACGGGCCTGATCAACCTGACGCAGCAGATCCTCAACATCTTCCTGGCGCGCCCGGACGGCGGCAAGGGCGACATCATCAACGTCGGCAGCATCGCCGGCCGCGAGCCCTACCCCGGCGGCAGCATCTACTGCGCCACAAAGGCCGCCGTCCGCAGCTTCACCGAGAGCTTGCGCAAGGAGCTCGTGGCGTCGCAGATCCGCGTCATTGAGATCGATCCCGGTCAGGTTGAGACGGTAGGTTTTTTTTTTCCCCCTCCCCTCCTCATCTTTTAGAAAGGAAGTGGGAAATGGAAAATGATGAGCTGACAAAAGTCGTGACAGAACTTCTCCGTGGTTCGCTTTGGAGGTGACAAGGCCAAGGCTGATGCAGTTTATGCGTAAGTGTTTTTTGCCCAGCTCACACCTTTTTTATGCGTTGTCAGTTCCTCATTAATCTAATCTTCTGATCAGCGGCGTCGAGCCCTTGACCCCGGAAGATATCGCAGAAGTCGTTGTATTCACAGCAGGCCGAAGAGACAATGTTGTGATTGCGGATACTCTGATTTACCACAAGCACCAGGCGGGCGCCACCACCGTCCACCGGAAGACTTAGATGTATTAGAACTTTGCGAAACGACGGATTTCTATCAATTCATTAAAAAGAAATGTATATTTACTAGAGGATATACAAACATGACATATTCAAGCAAAGAGTACGAAACCTTGCGCTGCGCCATCTGTGTTTCCCAACACGCGGAATGTGGACATGGCCTTGGACATGCTGATATTAGTGAAGTCAATAGAAGCAGTGCAAAAGCCAGTATAAAAGCAGAATGAAAGCAAGTATAGAAGCAGTACAGAAGCAGAACAACCAAGCAACGAAGATGAAAGCAACATTGGCTGACAGCACTGGCTTTGTTCTGGCTGTTAGTTCCATTCTTTTTGTCTATCAAACATTTAATTTGGTACCCTCTTTGCATGGCTTGGTCTACCCATAGGACCATGGCTGGCATCAAAGTACTGAGAGCCGAGGTTGGCCTGGTACTGAGTACACAAGACGTTTTGTTCTGCGGTTGACACATGCATTTCCAAACTCAAGTCTGATACTGGCATCATACATATGATATATATTTCACATATTTTTTCTAACTTGGAACGACTGCTAGCAGTACTATCTATACACCAACCATGACACAATGTTTGGTTGCATGTCAAGACGTGGTTTATTGAACCTACCGATGATATAGATTGTATTTTATGGATACAAACCTGACTATTTCAAGGATCAGCAACGATCAGAAAAGAGAATTCAACAAGAAAGCGTGAATATTTGACTTGATCAGAAAGCCGTATTACTCATTCACAGAGACCGGCATCTGACCAGCAGGCCTCAAGACGAAACCTGGCAGTCAAACGCACTGGAACTAACATTACGCCCGAAGACAACTCCACAACTGATCCTCGATGCCAGAACGACAACTACAGTGCGGGAGAATGGCTCGGCCCCGGTGAGATAGTTGAATGGATAAACGCGTTTCATCATAAAAGATGGTGCTGGAAGTTATGAGATGTAAAAGCTTACCTCGCTGCATGTTGGTTCGAGTTGTTGGAGGCCGGGTATTGCGATACAAGTGTTCTATCTGGAAATCTGATTTCGACAATTAGCCACTGTTATACGAATGAAAGCAAGTGTCAAAAATATTTGTTGTAAACATGGAATCAGAAAATGTTTTTGGTATAGGGTTATCTTCACAGCGCTTCAGAAGCAGAACTGAAAATAAAGTTTTTCATCACGAAAACGTTTTTTGCAGGTGTAATGGTGGAGAAAAGTTGACTTACCAAGCATTGTCACATACACGTCGTACATGTTCCGGTTGTAGTGCCTATCATCATCTTTTCCGCCGAAGTTAGCAATGATCGATTGACATATCGTCAGTAATAACAGGGGATTGTAAGTGTGCTTCAGATGGTGATGCATGTTTGTTCTGCGCTCATGGATATCGCTAAGAACTGTGGATAAAAAATCATCAACAGCGAGGGGGAACAGGGAGAAGGCGATGATCCGAGTAGAAATAAACAATATCGCTTACCATTAATTCTGCATGCAAGACTGTGCCACCCTTCAATGGTGAACCAGCAACCACAACCAAACGGGACAAGTTTCTGAGACAAGTACTGCTCCCAACCAACGATTGTAATCAATCTGGCGAGGGCGCAGTTGTTGGTCAGATCAATAAGAGCTCAATATCAATCCTCTTGAGCACTTGTCGCGAATGGCGCAATCACTGTGTTCCCAGGGCGGGCGGCGACAGTCGTGTGTTCGAGGTCCTGTGAAGGTAGAATGTTGTTGGTAAAGGTAGAAAGGAAGAGGCTCAAAAATTTCCAAGCAAGAAAAATCGATTTGGAGGTAGGTGACAATTGTGGCCGGTGACCGGTGCGTAATTGGTTCCGTGGTGGGCTGTCGAGTAGGTAGTGGGGTAGAGAGGTACCTGGGTACACGCGCAGGTAGCTTGGTGGGCGGCAGCTTTTCAAGCACTTGATCCCTGCAATTCTTTTGATGAGCTCTCGAAAAAGTGACATGCTGCAAACGTGAGTTTTTGGCTGTTTTCACTGCAGTTAGCTTTCTCAAGTCGCAACACCTGAACAAGCACACAAAAAAATACCATGGCTGATCGTAGGAGGATTAATGGACCTGTCGGAACTACGACGCCGCCAGTATTTGTCCAAGCACCTTCCCGGCCGAGACCCCAAGAGTCCGACTCCATCCGCAAGATCTGTAAGTCGTGATGGATTCATTTTCCTGGCACTGTCCTTTCCAACTTCTTGGTACCGTTGCTGACACCTCTGGCCAGACTTGAAAACTGGAAGCACTCCCTCAGCCTCTGGGTCAGCATACCTCGAACTTGAAAGCCGCCCTGGTCATCCCTACAAATCGAATCTCAAGCTCTCATGTACCGTACACGGCCCGAGAGCCCTTCCTCGATCGGCACCGTTTTCGCCTCACATCATCTTGACTACTCATGTAAAGTACGCTCCGTTTGCGACCAGGACACGGCGTGGATATCTGAGAGACTCGAGCGAACGTGACTTGGGCGTACATCTAGAGACTGCCTTGCGCGGTGCCATCATTGCAGACCGATGGCCAAAGAGTGGTGTTGACATCATTGTTACCATTGTCGAGGGCGACCAGGACCGCGACGCACCTCACAACCAGGACGATGAAAACTGGGAAATGATGAATGTTTTGAGCGGCTGTATCACCGTTGCCTCGGCAGCAATCGCAGATGCCGGCATTGATTGCGTGGATACCGTCGCTGGAGGTGTAGCAGCTTTGGTCTCCCAAAAGGACGGCGATGTGCCAAGTATCATCGTGGACCCTCTCGTGGCCGAGAACCAAAAAATCATGGCT